GGGGGGGGGGTTGTGGGGGCACGGCGACAGTGGCACGCACTGCTAGGACACGTGCTTCGCAGCCTGGGACCACACAGGAGACCTGGGTTCAATTCCCAGTCCCACCTAAAGGCTGGACACAGCGTGTGAGCTTATATCCCAGCAAGGTGGGAGGTTGAGCCGGGGGGGCCCAGCTCGTGCCAGTGTGGACCACACAGCCAGGCAGCCTGAGGGGCCGGGCATGGTGGCTGTGCCTGTGGTCCCAGCGCCTGGAGCCCGAGGCCGGATGGTCGGGAGCTGGTGGCTGGCCCGTGTGACCCGATGCTGGCTGCAGCTGCGTCCTGGCCGCTCACCATGCCTGGGTCAGCCACGTGGGAGGGGCTGCCTTTGATGTCGGCTCGCAGGGGGGAGCCCTGGGGGCCTGTCCCCCCCCAGGCCTGTTGGGGGCCCTCTCCTGTCGGCCAGCCGCTCACTGGCCCCTCCCCCACAGATCACGCAGGAGGCCGGGGAGTTCATGATCACCTTCCCGTACGGCTACCACGCCCGCCTCCACCCCCGCGCTCAACCACGGCTTCAACTGCGCCGAGTCCACCAACTTCGCCACGCTGCGCTGGATCGACTACGGCAAAGTGGCCACTCAGGTAGGCCTCGGCGGGCGGGGGCCGTCTCTGCGGGCTGCAGCCCAGGGCACGTGGAGCGCCACTTATGCCGGACGCCTCTCCCTCGAGGGCTGGAGGAGGTGCTGGCCGTGGGGCAGCCTGGGCCCACTTCCCCCGGGTCCTGCGTCCCAGCTGCCTGGCATGGTGGCTGGGGGGCTCTGGGCTCCCGTCTTGGGTCAGAGCTTTCCTGGCCCCGCTGGGTCTGTGGCGCGAGGGTGGACGAGCTCACCCTGCTGGTCAGCACTGCTCCTGAGGGCTGCCTGGCCAGGAGCGTCCTTTCGGGTGTCTCCCTCGCTCTCCTCCGGCTTCTCTGTCTGTGCAGCAGCTAGAGGGTTGGGTGTGCGCCAGTGAGTGTGCGAACAGGCAGGTGGCATGTAGGGGATGTGTGAGCAGGAGGGTGTGCAGGCAGGTGTGTAAACACGCAGGTGGTGTGTACAGGGGGCGTGCAGGCAGGAGGTGTGACAGGAGGGCGTGTGAGCAGGGGGAGTGTGAGCTGGCAGCTGTGCAGATAGGCGAGTGGCACCTGGCTCTGTACTCCTCCGTGCCCGAGTGCTTCTCACCTGCCTGGCGGTCTCAGGGCGTTACGGACCGGTCAGACGTGTTCGGTGTGTTCCCGGTAACGGGCCGGGCCGAGACGGATCGAGCCTGGCTCCCCTTGCTATCGGGCAGGAGTACCTGTTCCCCGGTCCCTCCGTGCTCTGCACACCTGCCTGTGGGCGTCCCGGACAGCTTGGAGGGCGTGAGAGGCCACTTGGCGGGCAGCGCAGGACACCCCTAGGTACAGGGTGGGGTGCGTGGGCCACCACCTGCCCAGCGCCACCTCACACCCTGTGCCCTTGAGCCCAAGGTGGCTTTGGTGGCCCGGATGATAGGGGACACAGACAGGGCTGTGACCTCTTAACCTCGAAGGAGCCAGGGAGCTGTCTGACACCTGGACGGGGAGGCAGGCAGGGCCCAGCAGGTGGGTGGGGGCCCTGCCCTTCCCTGGTACCTGGACCGTGGGACCCCAGGACTGTCCGGTCACCAGCTGAGAACCTGGTGCTGCTCCGTCAGCTGGGCCTGGCCGGTGGCCCTCTCAGGCAGCAGTGGAGGCCCTGCCCCTTCTGCTCCTCTCTAGCTGCAGACCGGCAGACCCGGCCCTGCTGGCCCCTCGCTGCCTGGTCTTAAGACAGTGGGACAGGGCGACACCTGCAGCTGGGGTGCAAGGGGCACTTTGGCAGCCACCAGACGCGGAGCCCTCTGGTCCTCCAGGGCTCGGGATGGGGCAAGCGCGTTTCCCCAGATCTGGGTCAAGGGCCGGGCCTGGACGCAGCTGCACTGTCTAGACATCAGAGTGCTCTTTACCAGGACGGCTCCAGAACTGTGCTGACCAGTGCGGTGGGCCCTGGCGGCCCCGGGAGCGACAGGTGGGGTGGAGGCGGTGCAGTGCGAGTCACCCTGACGGTGTCGGGACTGACGTGCACAGCAGAGAACGCGTCGCCTCACTGTCGCCCACGTAGCCTGGCGTCTCGGCATCCGTCGGGTTAACGGGACACCTTACTGAGATGGGTCTAGGCCAGCCAAGGCCTCCCCGTCCACGCCGGGCACGTGGGGTGGAGACCTGTGGGGTGCTCCCTCCCCTTCTCTTCCTCTCTCCCTTTCTTGAGAGAAATACTGTACCAAGGACTTTAGAAAGTCCATGAAAAAATTGAATTAAGGAAGGTTGACTGCGTTGTGAAATATTTGGAAGTCCTCGCACAGGCCCTTCCGTGGTACCCACCCCCACTAACCTGTTGCAGGTCCCTGTACGTACACCTCGTAGACAAAGGAATCTCGCCTGTCTCTCTGAGCTGCTTTTTGTTTTTCTTTCTTCTTTTCTTTTGGTGAGGTTTTTTGTTATAGGGCGTGTGCTCGCCAGAAAGACAGAGACAGACAGAAAGCGAGAAATCACCCCTGGGGCGATGGCCACGCCGCAATCCCTTCTCTTCCAATCTCCTCTTGGGATCTTGGGCATGCATGCACAGGCGCCCGGCGTGAGTTTAAGCCACCGGGTCCGGGACTTGAACTGCGGTCACCTACCTGGGAATTAAGAGACATAGCCATGACGCTAAATGCTGGCACCTATTCATTCATTTATTT